TTTATGTTTATCAAGATTTCTTGATCAAACTCGGCGTTTATTAGTTTTACTATTCTCCTCATATATATGCAAAATCCTATCAACATCGGACCACTATATCATATAGCTGCCAAAGGAACAATGGTCGAAAATTAAGTTGTTGTATAGATATTTTTTTTTTATCAAGATATCTTGACCAAACTCGGCACTTATTAGTTTTACTATGCTCCCTCCATTTATGCAAAATCTTATATACATCGGACTACCTATCATATAGCTGCCATAGGAACGTTCGGTCGAAAATTAAGTTGTTGTATGGAAACCTTTTATGTTTTTCAAGATATCTTACCCATACTCGGCATTAACTAATTTCTATCGAGAGGATGGCAGAAATGCAACAGCAGGTTTTGGGTAGGCAACAGCAAATGAACACACCACTGAAGGTGCTAATCTGGAATGCCAATGGCATTTCAGGTAAACTACTAGAGCCGGAGGTACTAGTACAAAAACATGCGATCGCAACTATTCTGCTGTCAGAAACTAGAACCAGCAGTCCTACTTTCCTCAGAATCTTTGACATCGACTCGTACCCTGTACACTGGCCTTAAAATAGCTCAGCTAGTGGCGGCTACGCTGTCCACCGGAGTAACTTGGTTCACTTCCCGCAATTGAGCATTGCTAATCGTGTTTACCAATATTCGACTGTGAAAGTCTCCGCTGAATCTGGTAACGTGGACTTTGGAGCAGTCTATTGCAGGTCAAATGAGCAGACGTCGACTGATGACTTCAGATATCTGGTGGGAGGCGCCTGGAATGCACACCTTCAACTAGCTAGCAGTCTAGCGCATCGTCAAGCGAAGGTACTGGCCACGGGTAGTCCCACAAGATACCCGTACGGTAGCTAAGGCACTCCGTCTTGGACTTCGCCATCTACCAGGGGATCCCTGAACAGCTCCTCTCAATCGCTGACAATTGGGACCTCCCGAGCGACCGCCTGGCCTTGAAAGTTACCCTGGAGAGCAGGGCCAGGGTGGTCAGCGCAATACCGAGGCTGATCGACGCACGCACTGATCTCGGTGTCTTCCAGAGACAGATGAGTGAAAGTATTCACCTCAACACCAAAATCTGCACTGGACGGGATGTAGAGGACGCCATCGAGCTGTTTAACGCAAAGATTCGCACAGCAGCAGCCGAAGCCACCTCCCCACCAGTTGCCAGGCGGCTGGACAATGCTGGCAACGGGCTGCCCGCAGACATAGACAACCTGCTCAGGATCAAAAAGCGGAGCAGACGCAGATTCCAGACGACACAGCATCGGTGGGACAAGGCGGATTGGCGAAGAGCGGAGCGGCAACTCAAGGAGACCCTTCGTAGACACAAAGACGCATCCTTCTCTAGAAGGTTGGAGAGCATGGACTATACCCATGACTCAGGATACTCGCTCTGGCGAGCAACTAAAAACCTGAAACGCCAACCCTGGAGAACCGTTCCCCTTCTTCGCCACAATGGTAAATACTGCCTTACAGACGAAGAGCAAGCTGATACCTTCGCCAGCCACCTGGAGGAACGGTTTACACCTTTCGATCTGGCCACCCCAGAAGAGCTCGATGAAACAACGCGAGCGTTGGAGACATCGCTACAGATGTCACCACCTATCGGCCCCATCCGCGTGGAGGAGGTGATCAACGTCGTCAAAGTCCTTCCCTGGGCTAAAGCACCGGGCTATGATGGAATATGCCACACCACTCTGAAGGCCCTACCAATGCGCGCGCTCCTTTTTATAACGTTGATCTTCAACGCCATATTAAGGACGCAACACTTCCCTGCCCAGTGGAAGTTAGCGAGGGTCTATATGATCCATAAGTCGGGCAAGCCGGAATATGACCCTGAGTCATATCGGCTGATCAGTCTCCTGCCTTCCTTGTCGAAGGTCTGGGAATGACTGATTGTCGCCCGACTTTCAAGGCTTATGGATCACATGGCCATCCTTCCTGATCACCAATTTGGATTCAGGGGAGGGCATGGCGCTGTTGAACAGGTTCACAGAGTGATTAACCATATTCTTAAGGCTTACGACGACAAAGACTACTGCTATGGAGTCTTTGTAGACGCTAAGCAGGCCTTCGACCGAGTCTGGATTGATGGATTGCTCCAGAAAATCAAGATGAGTCTTCCCGCCCCCTTCTTTCTACTTCTGCGCTCTTATCTAATGGAGCGAAAGTTCGAAGTCAAAGTTGGAGCAGCAATCTCTCCTGCCCCCAAAATGAGGGCGGGTGTCCCCCAAGGCAGCGAACTGGGGCCCTTTCTCTAAAACTTGACACCCCCACTCCGGGTGAACTACACGAGTTTGCCACCCCAGGCAAATACTTGATGGCAACATTTGCCGATGACGTGGCAATATGTTACTCCGCCCACTGCGAGTATGAAGCCACTGACGGGGCCCAGGAATACATCCACTTGCTTGAGAGCTGGACACGCAGATGGAACATCAAGCTCAATGTCTCGAAGTGCCAGGCGGTCAACTACACACTGAGGCGTGGCAAGGCTCCAGCAGTCTGGATAGATGGTAGCCCCCTTCACCCTGGCAGAAGCGCCAAGTATCTTGGAATTGTACTGGCTTAGTTTTCGGGCGCACATCGACGGCCTTCTTAAGCAGTGTCGCTATAAGATGGCTAAGGCCAACTGGCTACTAAACCCCAACAGCCCATTGCCACTTCGCTGCAAACGGGCAGTTTACAACGTCGTGGTGGCACCAACTTGGAGATACGGTATTCAGGTTTGGGGCATTGCATCTCGGACAAATCGAAGACGGATTCAGACACTCCAAAACTTGGCCTTGCGCCTAATTTCCGGTGCTGACTGGTACGTCAGAAATTCTACCTTGCACAGAGACCTCAAAATGGAGACCATAGACAGCCAAGTCGGAGCATTCGCCAACCGATACAACGAATACTTGCAGCGACATTGCAGCCGGGTAGCAAGAGACCTCGCTGGGAGGTGTGTAGTCAGGAGGCTCAAGAGAAGATCGTTCAAGGACCTTCTCCAACCACGACATAGGAGACGCCCCAGGGTCCCCCGACTACCTACGTGAGGATGCAGCCTTACTCAAAAAAGCCGCCTTTGACGTTTGTCCACGATAAAGCCTGAGGACTCAACCAGGCTTGGCGTAATATCACCTAAGCCAACTGTGTTGTAATAAAAATGTATGCTATTTTTGATTCAATACAATAAACAAACAAACGATCGGTCGAAAATAAAGTTATTGTATGGAAAATTTGTTTGTTTTTCAAGATATCTTGACCAAACTCGGCATTTATTTGTTTTACTATGCTCCTCATATATATATGTAAAATCCTATTAAGATCGGACCACTATATCAAATAGGAACCATAGGAACGATCGGTCGGAATTAAGTTGTTGTATGGGAAACTTTTTTGTTTTTCAACACATCTTAACCATACTCGGCATTAACTAGTTTCCCTCTGCTTCTTAGTTACGGGCATACTACTTATGAGCATTATGAATAGGTTGGGTCTGTAAGGGTTTTAAATTTTCGGCGTGCCAAAGATAGCCCTTCCTTCTCGTTTTTTGTTTTAAGTTTATTGGTTTTTTTCTTTTAAAATCTGATCTACGTTAACAAAGTTGGATTTTTTTTATTCTAAATTGAACGTCTGACTTATAAGTTTTTTCTTTGAACTATTAGTGCTCTAGCCTTTTCTCTGTTTGTCTTATCGGGATTTTGGTCAACCTGTCCTCGTTGCTGTCTTGGTTTTTCGTCTGTTGCCCGAAGAGCTCCTGCGGCTTCGGTGTCTAGTGTATCTCAAAATCCAAACTAAAACTAAAGACAATTGATTCTTAGAGAATGCCTAGAGATGGCGAAGCTGACTTCCGTGTCCGTAATAGCGCTGAGCATTCACCTCGTGTGGGGTCTCATGTTAGCAGCAACGAGGTTGCTGATCTATATGACGCAATGTCAGCATCATAGGCCAAGTGACCGAATTGGAGTTCGTCGTCCTTGCCTTCCCAGCTGGACTGCGGAGTGTTACATGTTAACTTACACGCCCGTGGAAAATTGGTATCCACCCATTTATCTGGACCTTCACTTCTATTTAAAAATATGTTTAAAGTGCATGCACTTTATAATAATGAACACAAAAGCAAGTATTATGCAAGATTTCCACAGTTGGGAAATTCCAAATTGGTTGAAACACGTGTATATTTAATTTTAGTTTAGATATTTGTAAATAGTTTGAAACCGATTGGGCAGAACTTATAAGTTCGCCTTTACAACGTCTCACCCGCATTTATTATCCAAGAGGGACGTTTATTTTCGAAAGCTGTGATACAAGTCTCAAAATAATTTTCGCAAAGATCTTTAAAAATTATTTTGAAGCCGATCGAATTTTAAGCAAAAAATATCATATGAGCCAAATCTTTTTACCTCGGATTGAAGCATCGTTCGGAAATTGAGTTTTGTATAAACAACTGCTTTGTTTTCCAAGATAACTTGACCAATCCTGTCACTGTGTTGCTACATACAATACTATCCTTTCAACATCTATATACTTAACATATGGATCTGTCTTTAAGAAGTTCAGCAATTCCGAGCCTTACAATTTCCTCACATATCTGAAAAACCGTAAGCTTTAATTCTACAAGGGTTTTTTAACTACGAGGTTCCGAAGATAGCCGTTCTCTCGTGTTAATTCTCTAATCGCAAAGTGAACAGAAAGATTATATTTGATTTGTGCAACATACATCTTGCTTTTCATCCCTCTGTTTTTATGAAACAACATTTTTTGTCGGTACTGAAGCTCGAAACCTCAAACATAATTTTTTGTCATGCTACTGTCCGTGATACCGGAGACTACTGATAAGCTCTTTTATTATCGAGCCAAAAAATATTGCGGACTCGCTATAATAAAATAAAATCATATGATTAATAACCGCTAGACTAGCCAATATTTAATCAAATTTTGCTTATTTATTGAAATTTAATTAACATGTTCCTCCTATAACAGTGCATTATCAAAAAATTATTCATGCGGACCTAAAACCCGGAAATTTACTACTGACAGAATGCGGGCATGTCAAAATTGCAGATTTAGGAGTATGCAATGAGTTTCTTGGAGAGGATTCTATAATGAGTAATGGCTCAACAGGCGGTACACCAGCTTTTCGTGCACCCGAAACTCTCGCTTTGGGCAAGGTATGTAACATCAGAAATATGAGAGATGCACTTGTTTAATAAGGCTTTCATTTCCTCAGAATGTGTACTGTGGTCGTGCAGCGGATATTTGGGCTTTGGGAGCAACGTTATATTCTTTGATTTTTGGAAATGTGCCATTTATAGCGAACTCCATACCCATGTTGTATGATAAAATAAGAAATGACGAAGTGGCTTTTCCAGGAACCCCAGAAATAAGCAGTGATTTGAGAAACTGCATTGCTCGAATGCTTGAAAAAGATCCAGCAAATAGAATAACTTTGCCACAATTGAAGGTACACAAGAAGATACAAAAGAAAAAAATAATATACCTTAACAATCTATTCACATTTAATTTTAGATAAGCTCATGGGTCACCAGTAATGGGTTTTATTCTTTACCAACTGAAGACGAGAACTGTTGTTTGGTACAAGTAGACGACGAAGATATAAATTCAGTTGTCCGCAGTATTCCAAAGCTGGATACTCTTATATTAATCAAAACAATGCTAAAAAATCATTCCTTTGGAAATCCCTTCATGAGGGATATTTCCGGTAGAGCTCCTCAACCGGGCGGTTCCAGATTCGACAAATTTATTCAAGCTGGTAGATCAAATTCAGCACCAGGCTCATATTTCGTGGCATTGGACAGGTAAAATATACATATAATTGTATTGCGAAAGAATATTCATATAATTATTTCCAGAGAGCCATCAATGGACGGTGTACTTCCAGCGTTGACTGAACATTGCTCTATCCAGAAAAATAATGAATTTTAAATAATTGAACAAATATATATCATCTAATGATATAGATAAGAACAGGGACCGAAAATAACCAATTATTATATACACATTTTTAGCTAAGAAATATTAATATTAGGGAAATTTTATTAAAAATACCTAAGTCGGCATTTCGCGAAATTCCATCCACATGTGTAAAATAATCGCGGAAAACGGTTGTATTAAACTTTTTTGCTTACCATCCTGTCTGGGTTCAGAGTATCTCCTGGATGGGAACTCTAGACTAGAGGAATTTTACATATTTTTCATGTTTATAACAATGTTCTGATTGTATAATTTAAAGACTCTGGGTTTTAGCAATTGTGTCGTAGTGCAAATCAACTATAGAGATAATCGATATATAAGTTTCAATCGTAAATCAGAATTATATACATTCATTCAACAGCCGAGTTAACATAGTTATGTCCGCTTTTCCCCCTGCCTGTTTCTATGCAAACTAATTTTTCAGAATTATCGTTATTAAACATTTCATAGGTCCGTCATTCTGTTGCAGGTAGTACATTGTCGGAACCGGGTGGATCGAACTATACAATTTAGCTCTATACGCAGAGTCGGCTAGAAAAAATGTTATGTTTTTTCAATATATCTAAACAAAGCTTTGTAATTATGAGCTTTTCAATGCTTCTCACATATTTGGCAACCCAAAAGCCTTTATTCTACAAGGGTAGTTAATAATCCGAACGCCGAAAATAATTTTTTTCTTGTTCTTTATATAATTGCATTTAATTGAAGCCTATTTTGAGCATTCGATCGGCGGTCTGTCGTTTTGCTTTTTGAAGCCGTCGAGCCTTTTATATGATTTTCTTTGAAGTAGAAATAGACAAAGGGAGTATTTCAATGGATACTCCAACATCCTACCGGCCTTTCAATCATTTTTAAAAATATTTGTGAAAACTAATTTACGGAGTTTTTACATTTTTCGAAAAGTCCATTCCAATTGGATGGAAAACGCGGCTCAAATGTTGAATGGACAATATTTCGGGTGTAAGCTCATTTGCTAAGATATTTGTGAAAATTTATTTGAAACGTGTTTCAAACTCTTTAGAAAATTCAGCCCTCCTGGGTGGAAACTATGAGTCAAAGGTTGTATGTGAGAACATATTTTTTAAAAACTCATACTGCTAGTGTGGAATATTGGGGGAAAACAATTATAAGCAACTTTTTTGTTTACCATACGATCGGCATTTGATTCATTTTCAAAAATATTTTATGCAATTTTATTTGATATGTATCCCTCTTGGATGGAAAATTCAGGTCAAAGTTGTATGAAAGAAAACTTGTGTTTCGGCTTCAAGCTTCACACTATAATCTTATGTGCTTCAAACTGATTATTTAACTTAAAACAAATGGGTTAAATAATAACATAATCAAGGTAAATTAAAAGAATCTTAAGTAAAACAAAATTATTTTTTTCCGTAAGTACTCACCTTGAAGGGATTATCGCCAAGGGCGTTCAGTCATTATAATAGTTATTTAATGCTTTATAAATCAAGAACTATGGTTAAAGCTTTAAATTTTGTATTTATGCTTTTAAGGATTACGTAATAAATGCTTGCAACATTATATTGAAATGTTTTTTCGAATGGTTTGGATCTTAAATTATTTGGTGCCACAGGAAACTCGTTTAAAATATTGTTTTTTTTTTTAGCTACTGCTTTTATGTCATCTCTCCAAGCACCCACAGATATATTTTTATTAGATAAAATTATAGCAAAATATCAAAAGTGTTCTAAGCCCGGGAAAAAGTTTAAAAGTTTGCAAATAAATATACATTGTCAATATTTATACACTGAACCCATTAAAAATGGGTAAAAAGGCTAAAATGTATTTGAGAAAATGTATGTAACAGGCAGAAGGAAGCATATCGACCCCGTAAAGTATATATATTCTTGATCAACATCAGTAGCCGAGTCGATCTAGCCTTGTCCGTCCGTATGTATGAACGCAAGCATCTCAGAACCTATAAGAGCTAGAGACTTGAAATTTTAGCCCGCGCAGATCGAGTTTGTTTCTTATATTCGATAACTTGCCCATTTCTAAGTAATCGGTAAAAATCGATATCGAAATCCTAAATAATAAGAGCTAGAGTCACCAAACTTGACTTGTAGCTTCTAGAATAGTATATATATATTTAGTATCTTTCATTTTATAGCTATCACTACCTCCCCGCTACTACCTCATAGCTATAATTCAAGTAAATAAACGAATTTATGCTGCCCACCAATATAAGCCACAATTTAAATGCAATTGACTTTTTGAGAATACACAAAAATTCTATGGAAAATGTAAAAAAATTTCATCAAGATCGGTTAAGAATCACAGAAGTTATTTAAGAAAACGTGATTTGGTTTTCCTCGTATCAGCGACAGCAAGCGCAAATTCCAAAAATTTCTGTATACATTTACTCGCACACATTCATCCGCGACTGCTCAACAGCATTGCAATTGTGATTGTATTGTTTTCTGTGCTGCTATTTTAATTAGTTTTATTTTTCATCAAGACTCTTTTATTGATGTGGCTGTTGGGTAAAGGCAGCAGCAAGTAATGCGGTGAGTTGCGAGTTCGAACCCTGCCAAGGGAACTTTTTTTATTTAAAGTATCTTTATTACTACTAAAGCAAACAAGCGTGTACCGCGAGCTTGGGGTTGGAAGAAGGGGGTTCAGGGTATCCCCTAGTCGAGAGCTCCTGACTAGAACCTCTTCCTTTTTTGTTTTTTTAATCTGTCAGCCATTGTTGAATAATTTTTTCTACGTGCTCAGTGTCTCCAAAAGGCGCCATTCATAACCTCGAATTGTGATATTTCGTATACGACCCGATTGTTAATCGAATAATATCAAACAACAAGTAATATTGCTCCAGCCGGGAGGGCTCGACTAGAGGATACCCCGGACCTTCTTGAACCAAAACCAAATGCAGGTCGCCTTCCTTGCTGGACGTTAGCAGATTTGTTAGCGATTGGTCATGAAATGCATGCCGATCAAAACGAAAATGTGAAAGAATTTTTGTTTGCGTGGTCCATGCTTCGTCCCAAAAATTTGATGAACAATAAAAAGTGGCCAAATTCCTAGATCATGCAGTCAAAAATTGTATAGGTAACAACAAGGTCGATGAGCGGCGCGTGCATCTTTTGTTATTTGTGTAATTTCCTTTTTTATGATTTTCGCTCGTTATCCGTCGTTTCTGTCTGGCACGAAGCGACCTTTAAAACGTGTCATTGTGAAGTGAAGTTATGAGTTGCATGTGCAAAATTTACTCAATTGGAAATCTTTCAATAAAGTCATAAATATTGTAATAGGTATGCATTTACAATAAAAATAAAATATTAATTTTGTTAATTGGTATGTATTATTTACAAAATTACGAAAATATTTAAAATAAAACATAAACTTTTTATTTCAGAGTCCATATCAGAGGGAGTTGCTTTTCAGCTTAAAAAAAAAAAAATAATAATAATAAAACAAATCTGAAATAGTTTAATATAGAGAGTAGAATTATTGATCTTTAGTTGTTAGCTAATACGTTATAATGTATTTGTGAAAATGTATATAACGGGCAGAAGGAAGCAACTCCGTTCCCATATATTTTTGATCAGCATCAATAGCCGAATCGATCTACCCATGTCCGTCTTTTATCCTTCTGTCGGGCCGTCCGTCTGTCTGTCTGTTCGTCTCTCCGTCCGTTTGTCCGTAAGGATTTTAGAACCTATAAGGGCTATAGATTTAAAATTCTAACGTAGGTCCTCCTAGTGCACGCGCAGTACAAGTTTGCTTTCCATAATTAATAACTTGCCCCATCTGCAAGTAATCGATGAAAATCGAAATCGAAATCCTCTTTTTTGATAAAATCTCGTAAGTTATAACAGCTAAGGTCATGTAGCTTCGAGACATGTAGCTTCTAGAAGAGTATATATATTAAAGAATCTTTCATTTTATAGCTATCGCCACCTCTCCGCTACCACATATGTACACACACACATTTACGCGCGTCTTTATGGAATTTATTAATCGCATTGCAATTGCGATTGCATTGTTTTTTATGTTTTTTTTTTTATTTTTTTAATTTATATATATTACTGCTCAAACAAACAAGCACGTGGCGCTAGCATTAACAGCATTAACAACTGAGTCAATCTAGCCATGACCGTCCATTTGTCTATCCGGATATATTTCATCGCATCGATTTTACAAACTATAAGAGCTGAAGACTTGAAATTTTGAACGAAGGTCTTCCCATTACAAGTTTGTTAGTCTCTGTTTCTATTCTATTAAAGAACGCATTTTGCTTAGCGTGTGGCCATTGAGCAATAAATAGAAAGAGTCGAAGAGCCACTCTGGGCTTTAGTTACCGCTTTTAATTTTAAGCGAGGTAGATAAGGTTAATCTGCAAACGCAAAATCAAACACAAAAACTCAAGAACTACTACCATAGGGAGTAAAAACAAATCACTTGCACAACAATAATACTGAGCATGAAACCCCGTTTTGATTTCGACGAATAACTTGATAGCCTGGATGTTTGTACAAGTCTCGAGGTCATAGGACACATAATACCACTGTGGTTGTTGCTGGTTTCTCTTTCGTTCCTACAACTCAGGGAGTAGAAACAACAACAGCACGATTTGGGTACTAATGTTGTTGTTACAGAACCGAGTGTCTGCGAAACTAGGTGGAAAACTGTAATGCAATTGACGGCCATGGCATACTAATCAAAGGGTTACTAACACGGCGCGTCAACATCATAAATTATGACGATACATTATTATTGTTATTTAATAATTTATTATTTAAATAATTTATTATTTAAATAATTTATTAATACCATCTGTTGCGCTATCGAGCTGTTTCAATAGCTTGCACAAATAGAAATAATTAAACTTATTTTATTTCTGGTGTTTCAATTTGATTGTATATTTGTTATAAATTTAGAGAAGCAGGCAGACCCGAATTGGTGCTTATTATTTAATAACAAGTTTTACAAAGGCAAGCGAATCCGAATTGGTACGTGCCGATTGCAGAGACACGACAATTGCGACATTTAATATGTTTGAATAATGCAAGTAGCCGATGTGTACCAAATGCACGAGGCGAACGAACTTAACTAACTCGACGCGCACCATCGATGCCTGCGTATAAGTGACAGCTAGGGCAATAAAATGATCGTTACAGCGAAGAGCGCTAGCTAGATATAAATAATCTTAAGAGCGAAATTAAAGCAGCTGATTCGCAGAGCAAGTATTATAAAATAAGAACAAAATGCTGCTCTTATCAGTTGATGTAATAATATTATACAATGTTAAAAGAAAACAGCTTTTAATAGTTATATCAATAGTTAGCACAGTAAATACATTGGATAAAAATGGTTTTAAAAGAAAGTTTATGTTCTTTGCCTACAGCATAGATCAAAAACTAAAATAGCGCAAGGCTTTAAACAGCAGATCTCCAGCTACCACACGCCGAAAACAGAACAAGACTGACATCAGTGCAGTTCGAATACATGCTTAAAATAGATATGCTCTCTTGGCACCACCCGGTAACGATGAAGACATGGAGACTGACGAATCTGAGGCCGAGCAGGGAACAGCCCATGCTACTACCAGCTCGTCCGTTCCCGAAAAAAGGTCTAACAACAATGCCCTCACTGGCTCGTACTATCCGAAGTAGGGGACCTGGATAGCCTGATCACCAAATTCAACATACAGAGCCATCATACAGAATCAGGAAGAACAAAAACTTGAGTTGTACTCATACCAGCTACAGGAGGCGAAGCCCTACTACATAGTAATCAAAGGCCTCCACCACTCCTCACTCAACTGAAAGCTCATCGACGACCTGCGGAGCCAGGGCCATACCGTCCTCCACGTACATAATCCGAGTAGCAAAGTCACCAAGGACCCCATGAATATTCACTTCATTAACTTGCGGCCGGCGGTCAACAACAAGGAGGCTCTTACCATCAGGAAGCTGTGCAAGCAGGTGGTCAAGGTGAGACTGCTCCAAGAAGCGTGCGGGGGCCCCAAAAGCCCGACAACATACAAAATTTCCCACCGATTCAAGCGAACCGAAGCCGCAGCAATAAAGTTCATGGGCCTACACCTGTTGACTTACCCCGTACAGCACCCATTGAACAAGTAGAAGGGCTTTCATAAAGCGCTGCCACCAGAAGAGGACTAGCTGCATTCTGCAAAGAGGACAACGCCCCCAGCTCTAGCCAGCGAGAAGGACCAGCGCAAGCTAGGCTACTTAGACTGCTGAGGGAACAGCAACAGGAGAGGCTGACAGCGCAACAACCGCAGACATCTGGAAACGGGGAAGGACTTTCGTCTGCCATCAAGGACATGAGCCGAGCTATCGAAGGGATGGCAGAAATACAACAGCAGGTTTTGGGTAGGCAACTGCAAATCCTTACCCTTTTGACCGCGTTGTTAATCAAATGAACACACCACTGAAGGTGCTAATCTAGAATGCCAATGGCATTTCAAGTTAACTACTAGAGCTGGAGGCACTAGTACAAAAACATGCTGTCGCAATAATTCTGCTGTCAGAAACTAGAACCAGCAGTCCTTC